TGCAGCAGACTCAGAATGCTCAACCCTGTAGTTCCTAGACTCCCAAGCACGTACTGCACTGATTGGCGGGTATGTAGGGGGAGGGACAGTCTGGACATACCCCAATTGACGCAGACACCGCGCAGGCAAGTACGGCTCGACGACGTCGCGGTATCAAATCAATCCGCTATAAAGAGTCATCGGCTCTATCGCATATGGGCTGGAGCTGCCGTATGACAACCATTGCACTTGTTCACAATTGCATAAAAGCATTTATAAAAATAATTATATTATTTTAAATAACGGGTAACTAAATTTAAATAAAATAACTTCACGTACATCGGAGGCAGTGAGTCTGTCGAGGCGCCGACGGATGGCTGTGAGCCGATCGTCTGACCGTGGCGCATTCCCTACGCTTCACGAGCGTAATCGTACGAGACAGTCAGGACCGATGGGTAGACGCCCCCGGGGTCAGAAATCGGGGAAATACTCATATATCCAAGACTGCAGAAGAGTCAAGCAGCCCGACATCTGGGCAGAGTCCCCTCGGCTGGCAATACCTAGCTGTCTGTACATGTATGCCAGCGTAGCGATCCCCATGAGTAACCCCCAATCAAATCCAAGCCGTCGAGCACCTCGTGCAGGAGCTTGGGGGTCACTCTACTACCACTTTTGTCGACGAACAATGTGGTAGCCAGCATCACCCACATCCAGACACCCGCGTCATCCCTAGCCGGCCGGCCTTTCCCCCTGAATGCCCCCGAAATGGCGGCTTCGGACACAGAACCACGCTGCCAGAACGAACTCATGAGTTTGCCCTTGGTGACCAAAAGTATCGACATGCAGAGCCCATGGCAGGTGTCCGAATCCGGGTCCTCAGCGACCACGGCTCCCTCCACAGGAATGCCTAAAATGGCCCGGACGTCGTGCAACATGATGCTCATTTCACCAAAAGGCAGGTGAAACGAGTTAGTATCCGGCTGCCATCGCTCCACAAACGCAGAAAGGAGTGGGGTGTCCAAGTGGATGTGCATGGAGTCGGCCAAATGTGACAGCCCGGTCTGGTCGAGAAGAGCTCTCGCATCGGAAGACATCTCTTCACGCCAAACCTTCAGATTCTCGATCGCTCTCAGTCTGTTGTGGCATTTCAGCGGCCCCCTCAAATCTCCACTCCACATGCGGGAGACGACGTGTCCTAGAAAACTAGGGATGACACTCCCATCAATGGGCCCACCGGGCACTGGGCCTTTAACGATCCAGGGTGCATCATCGGTCCTAGCTCGTTTGCTAGTACCTGCATTAAAATACAACATATCTGTATATATTGACTTGCTGGCAAATGCATTAAATAAAATATATTTAATAAAACATATTTCATAAGTTTCCCGTTCTTTTTTTTTTCCAATTAATGTACAAACGCTACATTTTACATTGATAAAATATAATGAAAATTTTAAACTAATTTATTATGTAACATTACTACTAATTGATTATAACAATAATAAAAATAATTATAATAATTTTCTAACTAATTAATTGTATGGTTCCTCTAAATTACAAAATAATTATACCGTAGTTGAGGAGCAGACCGATAATACTTTTCTAACAGTACCGATAATTTGTTATGATTAAGTGAAAATAATTTATGTTAAATAATTTATGATTAAGTGAAAATAATTTATGTTAAACAACAATAAATACGTAAATTATTTACTTGATGAGGATGTAGATGGGCCAAAACGCCCCCCAGCCTGTCGTTGAGGAGCAACCTGTGTAGGACGAACAGCCTGTACCGGACGAACCTGCTGTAGAACCGGCTGTACCGGACGAACAGGCTGTACAGGAAGACGAGGGTGGCTAGGACCCGTAGGCTGTGCGTGGTCCTGATCATCTGAGGAGTCGTCCGAGTCACACTCCTCTGAACCATGCTCCCTTTCGCCGTACGACTCATCAGCATACCCCTGCTGACCATAGGGTAATGGTACGCGTGCGCGAGGAGGTATCGACTTCCCTGCGTAGCGGGGAAAAGTATATCCCGACTGATCGTACGGTCCTGGTGCCGGGGGCATCGAACTGCCTGCCTGGTCAGGATAATAAAATCCATGCTTACCGTACGGGAGGACTCCATGGAGTCGCGAACTATTTGGCTGGCCCTAAATGAACATCTCGCACTGGTGCGGGGGGTCTCGAACTCTGGCTAGCCTGACGAATCTGTACCCTCCGAGCCTCATCGATCATCGCTTGTCTGTCCCAGTGAACGGACGCATTGACACCCCGACTTCTAGTGTGTCGGGTGCCAGAACCATCATAATAGTCTTCGAACGCCTCATCGTCGTCCCTGGCATTAGATTGTCCAGGTCTGCTAACACCTTGAATCAGAAATATAATTATTAAATTTTTCCATATGTAATGACTATTCTAATAACTATTAAAATAGATTATAATTCATTTTTATTTTAATATATATATTTTATTATTATAATTAATTATAATTATTATTGTTGAGATTTATAATAATTATTATAATTAATTATAATTATTATTACAAATTATTAATATTAATTATAGTTAATTCTAATTTGTAATTATTATTATAATTAATTTTAATTATATTTATTATTAAAAATTATTATTTTTTATAATAATTATTATTATTAGCATTTATAATTTATAATTATTAATATTATTTTTACAATTTATAATTAATTACAATTTACTCAACTTATTATTATTATAATTTTTAATTATTATTATAATTTATAATTGTTATTATAATTATTATAATTATTTAT